AGGTCCCTCCTGATGGGAATCTCCCATGGAGGGCCGTCCAGGAGCAAAATTATGTCGGAGAACCATACTCGGGCCGGCCACAACGGGGCTACCAACAGTAGACTGATCCCGTCGCGACGGACTCTCTCTAGAACTCCCGGGAGCAGAGCGATCGGGGGAAATGCGTACAGACGTAGCCTCGGCCACGTCTGCACCATGGCATCCAACCCCAGCGGGGCTGGATGGGTGAGGGAAAACCACAGTGGACAGTGGGTCGTCTCTCGAGACGCGAACAAGTCCACTTCCACTGGGCCGAACCTCTGAGATATTGACTCCACCACCTCGGGATGGAGTCTCCACTCCCCGGGCCTCAGCCCCTGTCTCGACAGGATGTCTGCTCCCTGATTTTGACTCCCCGGGATGAATGTTGCTTTTAGAGACAACAACTTCCCCTGGGACCACAGGAGGATCTGATGCGCCAGTCTGCATAGAGGGCGAGACCTCAGACCCCCCTGATGGTTTATATAGGCCACTACCGACATATTGTCTGACCTCACAAGGACATGATGACCTTTGAGGTCCGGCAGGAAGCTCCTCAGAGCTCGGAACACCGCCAACATCTCCAGGCAGTTTATGTGCCAGGAGGCATGATGGTCCTGCCATAGGCCTGTCGTAAAGCGGCCGTCCATGACCGCGCCCCAGCCCGTGAGGGAGGCGTCTGTCGAAACGGTTCTCCGGCGACATGACGCTCCCAACACTGGCCCTTGGGACAGAAACCAAGCTTTCTTCCACATAGATAGGGAACGAAGGCATCTGCGCGTAACCCTGATCATGCGGAACGGGTTTCCCCTCGGGGAGAACCCCTTGGTTTTTAACCACCACTGAAGGGCCCTCATGTGCAGCAGGCCGAATGGAATGACACTGGACGCTGCTGCCATGAGCCCCAACACTCTCTGGAAGTGCTTCACAGTGATGGCTTGGCCTAGCCTTATCCTGGACACTGTGGTCAGGATGGACTCGATCAGCGCGGGAGACAATTGTGCCCGCATCGTGACCGAGTCCCACACCACTCCCAGGAACGTAGTTCTCTGGGCTGGTGTCAACACGCTCTTTTTCGTGTTGAGTCTCAACCCCAGGCTCTGGATGTGGGCGAGGACGACATCTCGATGCCGAACCGCCAGCTCCTGTGACTGCGCTAAAATCAGCCAGTCGTCGATATAATTGAGCACCCTGATGCCCTGAAGCCTCAGCAGTGCCAGAGCTGCATCCATACATTTGGTAAATGTGCGAGGGGAGAGAGCTAGGCCGAACGGAAGAACCCGATATCTTATCTATGTGAATGTTAAAATCTCCAGTAATAGCAAAACAGTCAAACTCTGAGGAAATTGTTGATAACAGTTCTGTAAAGTCCTCAGCAAAGGCTGGAGAGTATTTTGGAGGGCTGTAAATAATGATAAGTAAAATGCGTGGGGCACCTTTTAATACAATACCCAGATATTCAAAAGAGGGGTAGTTACCAAATGATGTTTGCTTACATTGATAGACATCTTTAAAAAGAGCAGCTACTCCTCCACCTCTCTTACCCGCTCTGCAGACACTCATAAAAGTAAAGTTTGGAGGGGCTGTTTCATTGAGGACTGTTGAACTGCAGCTGTCTTCTAGCCAAGTTTCATTTAGAAGCATAAAATCCAGGTTGTATGTGGTTATTAAGTCATTGACTAGAAGTGATTTATTTTTAAGTGAGCGGATGTTTAATAGTGCTAACTTAACAGTCTTACTTTTTGTTACTTTTGTCTTAGTTTGGCGTGTAATAGGCACCAGATTAGATGGGTTTGCTGTACGGCTTTTGAAGGCCTTAGACTTTCTATCATGTAATCGAACAGCAATAGAGAAAGATACAGGCACACTGGGTTCCCGCTTGTTCTGTAAACATTTGAGAAAGTTACTGTTATCATAGCGGGCACCCGGCACATATCACTGAGAGCTGGTATCAGTTGTTTTTGGTTCACCTCGAGCCGATAGAGGAGGGTGTGAGCCCTGGCGTTTTTGCAGAGGCCGAAGAGCTCTCACAAGCGGAGAGCGAGCTGGGCCCGCAGGCTTTCGTGGTTTTGGGGCCTGCCGTATTTTGGTTGATGTCTGGGGGCTTGCAAATAGTTTGGTTCCAGCAAACACCAGTTTTTCCATTTTCTCTGAGAAGCACAGAAGATGCTGTGGAGATGCTGGAGATAGGGATAACGTGTCTGGTGAGAGGGTAGAGGCTGGAGGGGGCTGTTTCTCTGGTGTTATTGGAGGCTGTAAAATGCTGTCCTGGTTTTCTAACAAGTCGTCCTTGGGAGCTGAAACTTGGAGCAGTTCTAGTATGTCACAGTCTGTCTGTGGTGAGCTCTGTGGGCAGGGCTCAGCTGAGATTGTGTCCGTGAGCACAGGCTGTTTTGGCTGAGTGGTGTTATCATTGTCCTTGTGTGATATGTCAACCGCATGTCCATCCACGTGCTGAAATGAAGTCCTGTGGTCATTCATACTGTGTCCAGGTGTGTGTGTGCCATTCAGGTTGAGTGGATTGGCACACACTGCAGAAGGATGATTGAGGGAGAAGTAGATATTGTCCTTTAGCACTCTTGAACCAAGTTTGTTTGGGTGGTGGCCATCCTGTTGAAACAGTTGCCTCTGACTCCAGAAAAGATTGAAGTTGTCAATGAAGTTTACTCCTTTTATATTGCAGGTTTTTTGCAGCCATGTGTTGAGCCCAAGCAGCCGTGAAAACCTGTTTGTTCCTCTTGCTGGTAGTGGTCCACTGATGAATGTTTGTACTTTCAGTCTTTTAAGTGTTTCAAAAAGTTCATTGAAATCCTTCTTAAGGAATTCTGACTGCTCTTTATGAATATCATTTTTCCCCACATGAATGATGAGTCGATTTGCAGTCTTATGTTTCGTCAGAATGTTCTCAAGTTCCCTGTTTACATCAGAAGTCGTTGCTTGTGGAAGGCAGCACGTAGTTGTGTCCCTGCTAATAATGTTTCTGATTATGGAGTCACCCACTATCAGAGTCCTGGGCTCGGCTGCGCTCTGAGCTGAGTGCCGCTGTCTGCTCGACCTTGAGCGCCAGTTAGCAGTGTTAGCTACTGGCTGGTTCAGTCTGTGTTCGATCACATTCAGGGATTCCTCATTCATTAATACTTCAAATCTGTTCTCAAGATGTATAGGCGGTGGTAGGAGACCAGTGTTTGCAATCCTTGTCAGAGCCGTATCTGGGGTAGAGGATGCTACCGAGGCAATATGTGATGCTCGTGACAATCTGATGTCTCGAGTGCCTTTGGGTCTCGCTCCCTGTTTGTGCCATCGATTTGTAAGTCGATCGGCTTGTTTCTCTACACTCAGTATGGCCTGTCGAGGAGGACTAGATTCATGGGACTCACCGGCTGTATGCTGAGGGCGTCCATGATGAAGCTCTGTTGTGTGTTCCGTCTGGTTTGGTGGTCCCACAAGTAACTTTGTTTCAAGAACTGCAATCCTTTGTAAAAGTCTCTGGCAGTTAGTGCAGCAAGTAGATTCCAGAAGAGGCATTTTCTCTTATCCTTTAGAATGTAGGCAGTTGTGTTTTCTTCCCCGGAATGTAAGCAGTGGGAGGCTGGTTGAATAAAAGAATTCTGCTTTTTTGTAGTAATCCAAGCGTTTGAGCACTGTGCTGATTAGCTGAAGTTAAAATTAGGTGATAAAAGGAGATAAAATATAAAAATATAAAAGCGATAGAGCAAAGCGCGGAGCGGTAAGCAAGAGCGTCCGAACAGTAGCAGAGCAGGAAGTCAGCGCGTTCAGTCGGTGTTCACAGTCGGTGTTTGAACCTGAACCTGCTGCAGTCGATGGAAACAGTCAGTCTTCGGATGTTTCAGCAAGTCGTAAGTGTGTCCCCATCATTAGTCTGCTGTCTGTGGCTCAGACCTCCGTTACTAACAAGAGCGTTTTAATGACAAAAACTTGACAAACGTCTAGAATTACATCATCTGAACAATGTTTCGAGGTGTGGTAACTGTAGTATAAGCGGAATAATTGACTCCGGGCCGTTGAATTATTAGAAAAATAATGCACACCCGAGGTGCACTCCTCGGCTTCGCGTCGTGACCGCATTACCACCTCGGGTGTGCATTATTTTTCTAATAATTCAACGGCCCGTCGTCAATTATTCCTTACATAATTCAACGGCCCGTCGTCAATTATTCCTTACTTAAATACTAAATGTCAACATTTGTAAAATATTTCAGCATGTGTGATCAGTACGTTTGTGTTTCAGTAGACCAACAACATGACACACTCTCTGCTTTAAGGCATATTTGTTTTACATTAGCAATGTCATTAAAATGTATTAAATTTTAGAATTTTTTAGAAATTTTAAACTGTCTAGAATTACCCGATAAAACTAATATTTGGGTAACTAGTAATAAGTATATCTATATTAATTGAACATTTCCATGTAAATTAGTTATTTGGAAAATCCACTGTAGTATTTATTAACATGATGCGCACATACATGTTCATAAGTAATTCTGGATGTTACCAGAAATTGAGAAAAGTACAGCCATCGAAAATATACATTTTAGGAAAAGTAGAAAACAATTAAAATTTTTCCCATAGATTTTATAGTTTGGGGCTGTTGTAAAGATATTAATGAGTTTAAGGCCCGGTTTCAGAGCCAGGGGTTTGATTAAGCCATGAGTATAAGCTTTAGTTAAATTAGGACATTTACAGTAAGTTGCTTTTATAAACATGCCTTAGTAAAAAAAATAAAAAAAAATAAAAACTCTTGAGACAAAACGACATATTTTAAGTGCAAGTTGCTTTCAGTTAAGAGCTCAAACTTTTGTCTATAGGTTAAGACTAGGTTTAAGCCTTGTCTGTGAAACCAGGCATTCATTTGTTTAAATGTTAAACCAAAACATGGACCGTAGTTGGAAAATGAATGATGCATGTAAATATGGTCAATAAGGAGATGTAATGATTGATTTGTCTGTTTTGGGTTGTTTCAGAAGCTCCTGCTGTAAATGTATCTCCAGATGTGCTAAAAGAGTCCAGATCAGTGAAGATGATCTGTGAGATGCCAGCAGATGTTACAGTAAATCGGTGTTATTTCTACATAAATAGAGAAGAGAAGAATATAAAAGCCAGTAATTGGAATTGTGATCTCGAGCTCACTGGTGTTGAAGTGCTCAGATGGGCAGATGTAAAATCACCTGCATCAGTCGACATTTACTGCTTCTACACAATAACTGAGAATGGAATTGAGAAACGATCACCTCATTCTCCTGCTGCTACAGTGACGGTTCGAGGTGAGAAATTTCACTGCTCTTCTTCTGGGTTAGAAACCGTTACTGTAATGTGTTTAGGAACTATGGATTATTTCACTTCAAACAGATTCACTTGAGAAACCCACCATCAGTGTTAGTGACTGATGCTACACCTATAGGACACTTCTAGACAAATACTATTTATAAAGACCCTTTCAACCGGCTGTATAATGCAACACTGAAAGGACAAATACACTAAATATAAGAAAGAGTTGAATATGGTTCATTATAATCCCTGAGGTGTGTTGAGACTCATTGTGGGTCGGCGTCAGACTATGAACTCAGAAACATGTTAAAGCTGATTCTACAGGAGTTGTGGACAGTGTGAATCAGTAGACAGTAATCTGTGATGACAGACAAACGCTTAACTACAGTGAGACTTTGGCAAGTGAACAATTTGATATATTTAGGCAGGAAGGAAGTCACAAGCTGATCATGTGATCAAGTCCAGATGTCAGAGAGCCAGACTATTTCTGACAAATCTATAGAAGGTAATTGGGTCATTCTTTTCTACAGCTACTTTTGAACTCTGTGACAAAAATTAATACATGTCAATGTTAAATAAATAAATAAATGTTGAAGTCAGAAATATTTCAGTTAAAATTTCTTTCAGAAACATGCTTATTTATTCTGAATTGATTGTGATTTTTAAACAATGGATGAAATTAAAGAGCAATTGCTCAGTGAGTGATTGACAGCTTACATGAGTGTCAGGTAACCTTTAAAGTATTAATATTATCATACATATTTGTATTTTGTTGAATCAATACCACAAAACATCACAGAAATCGTAAAATCAATTGCTGCTACATATGTTTATGGGGTTGTTTTCACTCCAAAATTACACATTACAAAAGGACTAACAGGATTAAAGTTAACAGAGTTTTTGCAACTATATAAGAGTCACCTGCTTCTTCATTGTATTTGAAGGACCTGCATCTTCAACAAGCAAACTTTGCTTTAAAGCTTGCCTATAACGCTGGTCATTTGTCTCTGCAGTTTCAAGAACAGCCTCTGCACATACGACTACAACAGCCATGACAACCTGTGAGTAACTGAGCTTGTAAATGAAAAAAAGCATTATTATTACTCCACCTTAAATGTCTTTGGAACGAAAAACATTATTCCTTGTTTATGATTACTTGTTGAACATTTACTACTGTACATGACATCAAATTTCACAATGTCTTTTCAACAGCATTAACTGTAAGGTCCACTTCTGAAACCACAACATACAGTAAAACTGGTAAGTACTGATAACATTGTTTCTGGTTAGATCAAATTTCAGACACGATCGCTATATGTTTTTTTGTTATATTAGTTGATCTCCCTTCCAAGACAAACCTGCCAACAAACACAACAAAGGAAACCATGTGTAAGTTCATCTACTTTTCCTCCATGGTTAAAGGTAATTTGTCGAGTATCTTCATAACATAAGAGCAGTCTTATAATGGACGTAAAGAGTTGTGAGAGAATGAGGCGCGTGTGAGATCCGCGTCTCTGTCAGCAGTGGCTGCTCTTAAAGGTCAAGCAGCCAATAAAACGTTGTCAGTAAAGTTAATCAAAGAACAAAGGGAACAGAGAAAATTACTCACTGCTCTTGACTAAAGAACTTGTGTTTAATAAGGATTAGTCTATATATAATTTATATTTTATGCAGCGCAGACTGTTTGATAACTTTATTCAATTTTTGTATATGTCCTACCTGTTAGATAGGAAGGGCACAGGTAAATATGACATTTATTATGGGTTTATATGAGGATTGTTTTAAGTTCACTTAAATTAAAAGCTGTTATATTTTTTGAAGCCTAATAAATGTTTTTTTAAAAAAAAGATAGCTTTCAATTTTAATGACGGAATCACTGTAATGTTGGATGACTATAATTAATGTTTAAAATGGGGGGAGGGGTCATTTTTATCCAGACATCAATGGCTTTTTGATCATTATAGGTGTTATCAATCATTTAGTTGTTGTTGCTAGTTTGAGTTGAGAAATACACATTTCAGAATTATCACTAATCTGTGTAGCATTTTGCTTTAGAACCAAGCAACTTGACTCATTGAAACCAGTTGTTTATTATATCGCAATCGCATATCGCAATCGCATATCGCAATATTGACCTCAATAAACGCAATATGACATTTTCCCCAAATCGTGCAGTCCTAGTCAATAACAATCCAGTGTACGTTTTTTTTAATGCACATGTTGAAATAACTGATTTATATACAACAGTAAAACTTAATCACTTTTCTTAAAAACAAATGAATTACTTTACATCTACTTTCATTTGTCCAATGTGCGATAGTCTCTACTGGCCAAACTTTTACAACTGCCACAAAAACAAGTGAGTAACCTTATGTCTCAATACACTTGTAGAGGATTCTCATAGAGCATTTCTGATATTGTTATAATGTTAGGCCTATATTTCAAGTATAAAAAAATGAATACCTAAAAATGAACACAGTAGTGCACAAATAATATATAAATAGTTAACTATATATCATATTATAGCTGAGGATTTTATTCAGGCAAAACTCAAACACTAACATTAAGCACGCATATAGAGCTATACCTCTTCCTCACCTAGGCCAGTCAGACCACCTTTCTCCACTTTTTACTCCAGCATATACCTGTAGCAACATTGGGTATTGCATTAATTAGCTCAAAATATATATAGGGAATTTTAATAATTAATCATGAATATGATTAATATATTGCATGTTACAGTTAAATTATCGAAATTGAAAATAGATCGATTGTATATATGAATGATCAATCACAACGAATTATAATTCCTCATTCATATATCAATGGTTTCATTACAGATCGATTATATGAGATAACTTTAAGGGAATTAATCTAGTTATCAAACAATCAGTTTGTCCAGCAAACGGCCGTAAGATTAACTTATCAACTTCTCAACAAAGTTATCCCTTTATATAAACTCCAAGAAATATCAATTATCTGGCCGTGAACATTAATTTTCCTGTGTTTATAAAATTAAACTACTCAAAGTAGTCAATAATAAAGCTTTTGTAACTAGACCAATCATTTCATTGAAATATGAGCTTTTTAGACAGAAACAATCAAGAATATAATGGCTTTAATAATTGGACTAATAATACATTGAACAAACTCCAAGAAATATCAATTTTCTGGCCGTGAACATTAAAGGCACACTGTGGAACTTTTCAACCTTTATAATATATTACCAAAACCCATTGAGATGGTACATCGACTTACAATAGGTTGAATGACACGTCTGCCGAAGCCTGAAGGTGTCTGTATCGCTTTTCCTAGCACTATGTAACTTCGGGGTTTCGGGTAGGAACCCGAGCACAAAAAGAACTACAAAATTCGACCGCTTTACGGCATACGTCACTTCCCCCACCACCCACAACTTCCTCAGATTCTGACGTGAGTGCTGAACTCGCGTTTGATTGCCGTCTGTATGTTTTCGTCATGGCCGAACCAGCTACAAGGAAGAAGGCAAAGGTTTTGTCAGAGGACACTAAAAAAAAGAAAAAGGCATAGTGACAAATGAAAAGCCAGGACGAGGATCACCATTGGTCCAGCGTTCGCTCGCTGGCGTGAGCTACAGGAGGAGGATGGGTGCCCGACCGATGCTAACGCTTGCCTGCACACAAATGCCGTTTCCAAGGTGACACAGATAAATCATATAAGCAGTGTAGTATTGTCTGGTATTCCGGCCACAGCCGATGGGGTTATGAGTGTAATAAAATGCCCACAGCCCATTGTTCATTTCTACACACAAACACAGCCCGCCACAGTGCAGGGCTCGAACAAATAAAATCGACTCATGTCAAATGTAGTGAACGTTCCCACGACTCAGTGCCCACAAACACTACAGACAACATGTCCCACGGTTTCTGTAAAACGAAACCAACACACATAACTTACAGTCAGCTCAGGCCGACGGTGTTTTTAGTGCAGTAAGTTAAATGTGCCCGGCCCGCCGTCCCGCGCCCACATTCACTCACAGACATGTTAGCACTAAGCCCCACGGGGCTCGCCCCGCTCGCTCTCTCTCAGCAGACTGCTATAAGGGAATCGAGCGCGGCAAGGCTGCCCGCCTCAAACACTGCAAGCACACATAATCTAAAGACACGGGAAGCTGACCCACTGTCTATAGGCGGACCGGTTGACTGTTTGTTGACTTTTGCGACAGTGCTGCGGAGCTTGTGGCCTCTAGGGACGCTAGACGTGAAAGTTACAGGTCGAGCGCCACTAGTGGCCGAAAAGTTCCGCAGTGTGCCTTTAATTTTCCTGTGTTTATAAAATTAAACTACTCAAAGTAGTCAATAATAAAGCTTTTGTAGCTAGACCAATCATTTCATTGAAATATGAGCTTTTTAGACAGAAACAATCAAGAATATAATGGCTTTAATAATTGGACTAATAATACATTGAATAACAATTTCACACAGAATATATATGTATACACCCACAAACAAAACGAAAAACATTACAAACATGAAATAAATTGGATGAGAGAGGAAGATAAAAATGAAGGAGAGAGAGAGAGAGAGAGAGAGAGAGAGAGAGAGAGAGAGAGAGTTTACTGATCAGCCACTCTAAAGATGAGCTCCTGAAAAATTATAAAAGAATGAACCAAAGAATGAGACAGAGAGTGAGATAACGACAACAAACAAGAAAAAACAACAGAAGAACAACTTGGACTCGGGTAAAGACCAATTTTTTTACTAGAAAATACATTTTAATACAAGAAAGAAGACTTGAACCTGTGGACTAGCATCTGGCTACTGAGTCTCCACTCTAACAGCTAACTGGAGTTTCCCCTCCAAAACGTGAAAGGCTTTCTTAAAGGAACTACAGCTGAAAAACTTCACAAAACTTCTGATATTAAGTTACTAAACAGAGAGATGAGCTTTATCTGGCAAAAATCTTAAACAAAATCTGTATATTCTGAATTATTCTAGTAAAATCTCTCATTATTACA